GTACCAGCGCTACACCTGTCAGATACTTTATCTTACCTTAGTGTTGTTCAGCATGCAGGACAGGAGGCAGAGGGGGAGGGGGGAGGAGAGAATTATTGAGAAGAGGTGGAAGGAGAGGAGTCATCCTTCCTAGCCCTCTTTGGTGACTGTCTCACAGACACTTTGTCTGTATGTTCTTTTGTTATCTTTGTAAAGAAGGTATCCAGGGTTGGCTGCTTCAACCTTGATTTCTGGACCTTCCAAAAGTAGTTCATAACATTGTCATTGAACACACTGATGGCCTTTTGCACAGAACCAACATCAGGATGATAATCCTCAGCAAGCTTGGACAGTTTGCTTCAGCAAAAGAACGCATCCTTGAGATCCTTGACTGGAATGATGCGGCTTTCCTCCTTGTCCTCCTCCTCCCCTGACTCCTCAGAAGTTATGCTCCGCTTCAGTGTCTCGTTTTCCTCTTTGTGAAGCTCAAGCAGCTCCTCAGTGGACAGTTCCTTACTGTGCTCTTCCACCAACTCCTCAACATCATCATCATCCACTTCCAGGCCCATGGAATTGCCCAGAGCCACAATTTCATGAACAACAGCCTCTTCTTCTAACTCTTCGAAGCCTTCAAAGTCTCTTTGAAGGACACATTCAGGCCACAATGGCCTCCAAGCAGCACAAAGACACCTCACAGTAACCTCTTTCCAGGCTGAGGTAATTAAAAATACAGCATCTGCTATATTGAAGTGACTCTTCCAAAATTCCTTCAAGCTAACATCACTGGAAGAAGTGGACGCAAAACATTTTCTAAACAGTGCCTTTGTGTACAGCTTCTTAAAGTTAGAAATTACCTGTTGATCCATGGGCTGGATGAGAGGTGTTGTGTTGGGTGGCAAGAAGTGCACAGTGATGAAGTTCAACTCCTCTGGCAATTCAACCATCAAATTAGGAGGGTGGGCTGGTGCATTGTCCATCACCAACAAAGCTTTTAGTGGAAGATTATTCTCCCTGAGGTATTCCCGAACACTGGGTCCAAACACCTCAATCACCCACTCAGAGAATAAATTCCTGGTCACCGAAGCCTTTGGGTTTGACCGCCACATAACACCAAGGCGGGTCTTCCTAGTGTTTTTTAAAGCTCTGGGGTTTTCTGCATGGTACACAAGGAGTGGCTTTATTTTGCAGTCACCAGAAGCATTAGCACAAAGAAGGAGGGTAAGCCTGTCTTTCATTGGCTTATGGCCAGGGACAGAAGTTTCCTCCTTGGTAATGTATGTATGGCGAGGCATTTTTTTCCAAAATAGTCCAGTTTCATCACAGTTGAATACCTGCTGAGAAACAAAGCCTCCCTCTTTAATAATATTCAAAAAAATGTCATGGTGTTCCTTAGCTGCTTCCTTATCGGCACTAGCAGCATCACCATGTCTCACAACACTATGTATTTTATTTCTCCTTCTGAAACCAGTAAACCACCCCTTGGTACCCCTAAGCACTGGCACATCACTATCACTTGCACTGGGAGTCTTGGCTTTAAGGTCCTCAAACAATTGTCTGGCCTTCTCACAAATTATAGCTTCACTAATGCTATCACCTGCCATTTCTTTCTCCTTTATCCACACTAAGAGTAAATTTTCCATCTCCTCAATCACATTACACCTTGCTTTGCTAAGTCTAGAGATTCCCTTAGCCACTTGCACTGTTTTCAACTCCTCTTTATTCTTTAAAATCGTACATATAGTCGATTTAGCCATCCCATACTCATCACTAAGTTTTGCAATGCTTGTTCCATCCTCACATTTCTTTATGATTTCTTTCTTAGTTTCAAGAGTTATGAGCTTTCTCACTCGCTTTGAACGATTCATTGTCACAATTGTACACTTGTATAACAAAATATTTATACAAATAACTCTATTTCCACATCAAAAGACGAAATTTCAACAATAACAGTGGTGCACTGGCTACACAATGAGACAAAGATGGCGCCTGACGCTCTTGTTGTGGGTCGCGGTACAACAATATTCATGCGGCAGGCGAAATAGTCCGGTATTCATCCGCGTTCGTTGTAGGAGTTGCGTTCGTTATAGCATTCTCAATTTTATAGGTAAAACCGTTCGTTATAGGAATATTCGTAGTAGGATCCGTTCATTATAGCATACCCCACTGTATATACAGTGGTCCCTCGATTAACAGGCACAATCCGTTCAACGGGATGCTCGTTAACCGAAAAACTTCCGTTAACGAACCATTGTTTCAATGGGTTTTTTGGTGGTGGTTCCAGCTCACCGAATTACTTACTAAAATTCAACAAAAGGTAGAAAAGTACGCTACTTTACAGGGTGTGTATGTAAGAAGAAGGCTCCTGGATGATGATGATGATGATGGGAATTAGAATGGGGGTGGAGGAGAAGGAGAAGAAGAAGGCATTGGGGTGGAAGAGAAGTCACCCCCATGGTGCCATTTCACCCATAAAATTTTAGTTCTCTTGGTGTAATTCAAGATTATTTTCTTTAAATCAACACTGCACTGCATTATATATTGTCAATATGTAAAATAAATTTCAAAATGACCAATAATTTGCTTGGAAACACAGAAAAAAAGCATTTAGTTGAAGAGAGTCTCAAGCAAGATGTTACCTCAGAGAGAGACTAACGCCTGTCTGGTGTGTTAACAGGCTGGATGGCACGCCAGAAACTAGTTTCTTTACCTTCAATTATGTTCAATAATTGTTAAAATGACTAATAAAGTTAATATTAAACTTTTAAAATTATTGAATAGTATAAACTTCTTGATATTTACTAAAATAGTAAGGAATTTAAGCCCTAAAACCGATTACTGTATTGGCAGACTAATACTACAACTGGTGGACCGCCAAATGCAAGCGAAAACATGTTGAAGTCGACTCGTAAAAAACTCATTAATCGAATGATTGCTCGTTAACCGAATTTAAGAATCTTATGGAAGGTAAATCGTTAACCGAAATCTCGTTAACCGAGGCGCTCGTTAACTGAGGGATCACTGTACATTACTGTTTAGTCCATTTTTTTATACCTCTTTGTGTTTCCAAGAGCTTTTATTTGAAGTGAGCCTCAGTATTTCTGCATATTTCAACATCTTTTCTGACACCCATTTTTGTGTGTTAATTTTTCCACCAAAATTTATCTCATAAAGGTAAAGTCAAAGTGAATCTTCACATATGACCTCAGTTCTGACATTTTTCAAATATTTTGTTAAGTTTTCCATAACTGAGCTCAAGACTTACACCGTGAGAAATTGAACTTGATCGCTGCGCTGTCGTATCAAATTTGTTGAAGCAAATCATATTTTGTAGGGACATATCTCAGCTTTTATAATGGGAGTCTTTGGGAAAATGGGATCAAATTTATGAAAAATCACTTTACAAAACGTTTTTCAGGGATGGAACCCTCTCCTGTATCATGGGTACTGTACTGGGTTTAGTTTTGTGAACTATATGATGTCAGAGGTCACTGGGTCTCCTGGTTTTATAGAGAATACAGGTACATTAGTTTCAGTTTCAGTAATGATTCACTGGAGGTCTACAAGGTAATGAAGTATGGATCTCCTGGGTAGTGAAGTAAGTGAGGATCCCCTGTTACTCATTCTTTCCTCCCTCACTCACTAGTTCAGTACAGTTCAGTACAGTACAGTACAGTACAGTACAGTACAGTACATGTGGTTCATGGCTGGCTACAGTGTCACCTGACTTATCTCAGAGAGAACAAATAGTACGCTGGGAAGCTTTTGTTACTGATAGTCTTATCTTGAAGTACCAGGATAACACTGAAGTGTTCATGATGAACCGCTCATTTCTTACTCAACTGGATCATACATCTTAGACCTCCAGGACTTGAGGCACTTGGTGTTTTATGGCTGAGCTGAACACAGGAGAATTGATATGCATTCTTATGTGGCTCGTGAACCAAACTATGGCCTCTTGCACATACAGTACACAGTTCCAATATACACCTCAGCTGATCCCATCTTGGCCAGAAAATATGATATGAGAACGGGTCTCTTATTGTTCAGATCCACATTGTGAAGCCACTGGTGATAACTCTAAACACACTATGCCATAATGAAGAACCTTGTGTGTCTCTATTGGGTAAAGTAGAAGTCAGGGGTCAAGTATTGCTTAAATGTGGGTGACATGCATGACTTGTGAAGATACTTCTAATTAATTCTTCCCCAAGGAACTGATTATTTTGCTTTAATTTTTCTTTTGTTACTTTCTTCTCTTCAGTACTCTTTGTTTAATCAGTGCCTTGTGGATGTGTTCACTCTCACAGATTTTGTACAGCAGATATACAGTACAGAGTAGTGCTAAACATAATATCAGATCCATTTAATACTCACACTGACCCATTGTTAAGTTACTAAAATAGGAGCTGGGGGATGTAATTACTAATGGTAGTTAAGGAAGCATGACTAAAAGATGGGGCTTTATTCCTGATGTTTTGTCACAAGACTGGAGAAGTCCAGCAATGAAACATCTATTAGTCGTGTTTCCTTCATTACCACAATGAACAATGTTAATTACTGGTGCAGCTTATCTGTATTATGGATTAAGGCATCAGGCCTCTGTGTCCAGATCTTCAGCCACTAGCTAGAGGACATTTGGTGGTGATTCAGGCGAGTTAATGGCACTCAGGGCCCGTTGAATATTAACAACATCCTGCTCTGCCTACTCATTGTCCAGCCATGATTGCTGACAATAGCACATTTAGTCAAACATTATAATACAGTCAACCCTTTAACCAATTTACAGTGGTAAATATGACAGACTGGATGATGTAGATGCCTGGGAACTGCTACAAGGCAGACAAGTAGCTACTGAGTGAAGGAGAGAGATTAGATATGAAAAATGTACAAGGTAGTTGATCTACAGGTATTTTTTCTTTGACAGAAGATACCCATAATGTAAAAAAACAACTAAAGTTACTGACCATTGTATGAGAGATTCTACTATTAATGTACATTTTTTAAGACTATTTATGTTTCAGGTGGTGTGAGTGAGGGAGTATGTGCACACATGCTGGTGGTGGGACATGAGGACGGTCTGGTCACGGTGTGGGTTGTACCACAGACACCTACTGCAGAGTCTTCACACTTTGAGGAGAGGTAACACTACTTATTTATCTCTTCTTTCACATCTTATTGGAAGAGGAAATTAAGGCATTTTCAAGCTCTGTCTTGCCTATTAAACCTTTTATTGCTCATTATCAGAAAGTTTATATAGAAATTAGAGAATAGATTATAGTTGAGGGCAGGTACAATAATTCTCGTGACACAATCATAAAACTGGTACAGGACTTTAATGATGGTGCCATAACCTTTATTTGTGTTAGGAAAGAACACAACAATGAACAAATAAATTACAGTTTAGTGCCATATAATGGTCGTCTTGTATGATGGGGTCTGGTCGTATGAGATCCCAAGACTTAAATAGTCATAATCTTAATGGTTAGGTTAGATTAGGGCCATTTGATCTGCAGCCATGTTATTTAAGGCAAGTTCAGAAATAATACTCATGGGTGTTAAAATATGAGTAGACTATAATAGTGAGTGACTGGGAAGACATGTAAGAATGACCACAAGAATAATTAAAGGATGGGGAGAGGAAGTAAATATATGAAGGAGACTCTTAAGTGTTATGTAGAAGTGAAAGTTTTGTCCTGAAAACCCAGTCCAGAACCAAGTCAGTGAGAATGGATCATATATAATGTGGCACCAGTACCTGTAGGCAGCCTTGGGTGTACTGTAGTCAGAAGATAGGCTGACCCCCACCACTGACAGCAGGAAATAAGTCATCCATTACACAACAACTGCCTAACCTGTTCATAGACCCATAGAGCTGGTTTATGGCACCAGCTGCCCCCTCCCCCCTCACTTTCAGCCAGTTTGGAGGCAACTATCAACAAGGCTGAGGTACAACAGCTGCATCACACACATCACAAGGAAGTTCTGTTTCACGTACACAACAGAGGAAAGTTACAAACTCCCCCTCACCACACAATACACCACTATCTGTCAGATGGCTCAGCTATTCATCTCTCAGAAAGAAAATGACAAATCCTTAAGCAAAAGATTTAATGACTGAACCCAGAAAAGCTCAGCACTTAAACAGCAGATTTATCGAAGGTACAGTAAATGATGAACCTCCTTGCAATGCGTTATAACAAGGAAAGGCTTACAAGGCTGTGTCTCTCTGTACTCTCTGATAGGAAGTCATTTCCAACATTACACACTAGTCCACCAACAGGCAAACTCCCAAGGTAAAAGACACACTCTACCATCCTTCAGAAGACATCACCCTATAACACATCTGCCCTGACCTGAGTGCTCACAGCATCTCCCTCTACTGTGACAACAAATATTTCCTTCACCATCTCCCATACAGAGACCAGAAGGAACTTGTTTATGTCTGATTTATCTGCCAGAGATAGTGACAGCTGCCTCATGTGTTCCACTAGACACCCCAGAGATAGTGACAGCTGCCTCATATGTTCCACTAGACACCCCAGAGATAGTGACAGCTGCCTCATATGTTCCACTAGACACCCCAGAGATAGTGACAGCTGCCTCATGTGTTCCACTAGACAACCCAGAGATTGTGACAGCTGCCTCATATGTTTCCACTAGACACCCAGAGATTGTGACAGCTGCCTCCTTATGTTCCACTAGACACCCAGAGATTGTGATTACCTCATGTGTTCACTAGACACCCAGAGATTGTGACAGCTGCCTCATATGTTCCACTAGACACCCCAGAGATAGTGACAGCTGCCTCATGTGTTCCACTAGACACCCGGAGGGTGTGACCCCAGCTGCCTCATGTGTTCCACTAGACACCCGGAGATTGTGACAGCTGCCTCATATGTTCCACTAGACACCCCAGAGATTGTGATAGCTGCCTCATGTGTTCCACTAGACACCCCAGAGATTGTGACAGCTGCCTCATATGTTCCAGTAGACACCCCAGAGATAGTGACAGCTGCCTCATGTGTTCCACTAGACACCCTAGAGATTGTGACAGCTGCCTCATATGTTCCACTAGACACCCCAGAGATTGTGATAGCTGCCTCATGTGTTCCACTAGACACCCCAGAGATTGTGACAGCTGCCTCATATGTTCCACTAGACACCCCAGAGATAGTGACAGCTGCCTCATGTGTTCCACTAGACACCCCAGAGATAGTGACAGCTGCCTCATGTGTTCCACTAGACACCCCAGAGATTGTGACAGCTGCCTCATATGTTCCACTAGACACCCCAGAGATTGTGACAGCTGTCTCATATGTTCTACTAGACACCCCAGAGATTGTGACAGCTGCCTCATGTGTTCCACTAGACACCCAGAGATTGTGACAGCTATTCCACTAGACACCCCAGAGTTGTGACAGCTGCCTCATATGTTCCACTAGACACCCAGAGATTGTGATAGACACCCCAGAGATTGTGACAGCTGCTGCCACTAGACACCTAAGTGTGATAGCTGCCTCATGTGTTCCACTAGACACCCCAGAGATTGTGACAGCTGCCTCATATGTTCCACTAGACACCCCAGAGATAGTGACAGCTGCCTCATGTGTTCCAATAGACACCCCAGAGATTGTGACAGCTGCCTCATATGTTCCACTAGACACCCCAGAGATTGTGATAGCTGCCTCATGTGTTCCACTAGACACCCTAGAGATTGTGACAGCTGCCTCATATGTTCCACTAGACACCCCAGAGATAGTGACAGCTGCCTCATATGTTCCACTAGACACCCTAGGACTTTTATCCTCTTCACCACTGATCGGCTCGTTAGCCTCTTGGGCGGTCGGTCACGTCTCTGTTACGCCAAAATTTAGTTCTACCACCCCGGGCTCCAGGGAGGGATCTCAGTTATCAGCTGGCCATCTTGGTGTGAAGGTCTATGGCAATGCCTGATAAATGCTCCGTCTTTGGATGCTTATCAAATTATAGACCACAGTACATGATAAAAGTTTGAGATTTCATTGATTTCTAGAGGATGAAAAACAGAGAAACTAGTGGATTTTATTGTGCTTGCAGCAAATATATAGGGTGCGGCACGAGGAAGGGCAAAACTTGAGAGCCATTGGCAGGAGAGACCAGTACCAATTTGGTGCTTGAAACTGTTGTATAGCCTTATCATCTGTAATATATCTAGTGGCCATAATGATAAGTAAAATACCTCTACACATAAGTACTGTACTTGAATTCACAGAATTGCTGTAATAGCTTGGAGAGAGAGAGAATAATGATACAGTAACTATAATCATTAACAATTTTTATTATTTTCATTAACTATTTTATTTAATTCTTGTATTCTTTCTGCCCCCAACAAATAGCTAGCTCATAGGCCTATGATTACTCAATTGCTTTTGCACTGATATTACAGCAAAATCATAAGAGTTTAGTTAATAATAAGAGAGGAAGAAGAGGATTGTTATTAATAATAATAATATTTATTTTAATAATAAGAATGGGAATATCATAAAAATAATAAAATAATAATTACATAAGAAGTTCAAGTGGCTAACTGAAATATAGTGTGCCAGGGGATGAGAAACTCAGGATATATGGCAAGAATATCTTCTAATACAGTTGGGTGGTCTCACTCGGGATTCACTACATGCCAACGACATCACATAATAAGTTCTGCCCATGTATGTGGGTAGACTTGGGTTATGCATTGTTGGCCAGTACTGGCTCTCTGTTACACACTGTTTGCAAGTACTGGGTAGGTACTGACTCCTGAATGTATCTGTACCTGCTGCAGTGTTGGTCAAATCTGGTCTTGAAAGAGCTTACACTCGGTGCTGTCACAACACTGTCTGGCAGAGTGTTCCAAGAACTCACAACTCTCACTGTAAGAAGTTTGCCCTCACAGTTTTCCAGACTTGTGGATTTTTCAACCTTGAGTTGTAACCTTTTTTGGGGCGGGTGTCTGCCAGCTCGAAGTATGAACACTCGACTAAGTGGTGCCCTCTGGGATGTTTATAAACTTCAATTAAGTCACCCTTTGCCTGCCTATATTATACTGTAAGCTAGGCAGATGCTGGCATTCTAATCTCTCTGGGTAACTGAGGTGTCAGAGTGCAGGAACCACTCTGGTGACCCCCCTTTGGACATATTCAATCAAGTGTCAGTCTCTAGCTTATCTTGGGGGACCAGATGGGGTGACAGTACTCCAGATGGGGAAGCACCTCTCTCTTAGATCGTTATGAGGGACGGACCGTCTTTTCACAATGGCCTGAGATCTCCAGTTCATAGTCAACATACACACCTAGGCCCTTTTTCACATTTTGTCTCTATTAATGCAGTTTCTTTGTTCCATTGGGACATGTGATATGCCTCCTTACTGTTGGTGTGACCCAGGTGCATCTTCTTACACTTCGCAACATTGAATCTTAGCAGCCATTTCGACTGCTCTTGAAGCTCACAGAGATCTTTCTGCAGCTCTTCACAGTCTGTTTGGTTCTTAATTTCCCTGAGTAACTTGGTATCATCCACAAACATATGTATGGAGGAGTGTACAGCTTCTGGCAACTCATTTATGTAACAAACAAACAACATTGGGCCCAGTATGCTGCCCTATGGTACCCAGCTTGTCAGTGGTACACAGCGATTTTTTGCCATTAAACACCACACACTGCCTGCTGTCATGAGGAATGTCTCCAATCCACTGGGCTAGGACACATCCCCAAATCCCATACCTTTCAGGTTTAATTCTCAGCCTTTCATGAAGTACGCTGTCAAAAGCCTTGGCAAAAGCCAAATACTATGTTGTTGATATTGCCACCCTGTTCCATAATTTGGGTCCAAACATCCAGTACATCATATATTAATAATCATCATTGGAAGTAGCTTAGCCAAGTCAGTTAGTGACAATAAGGAGGTAGACAAGACTTATCTCAGGCCAGGGTACAAGAGTCCTGCTATAAAAGGTAAAACGTTTCTTAACTGCTGAGTTGGTAACACTGTTCATAGCTTAAGCTGTTGTGGTGTTGGTCACGGTGGTGAGGGTCTAGTGTTTAGCAAAAAAACAATTATGTGTACTGAAGAATTATACCTAGTACAGTATTTCTCAAAAGCTGGTGTCCAAATACACATACACTCCTCGCCATTGCATTATGCTCGGGGTCGTGACGGACATAAACAACAAGATGAAATATTAATAAAAAATTAATCTGAGAAGTTAACAAACTAACGGTAGTCTATAGCCCTCCCTTTTCTCTTGATACACTCCTGCAGGCGTGAAGGAACTGACTGCCAAGTTGTGGATTATTTGTGGGTCTAAATTATTCCAATCCTCACGAATGGCTGCCTCTAGCTTGGGGACGGTACTTGTGTCCTTGCCTTATAGACGAAGCTTGATAATGCTCCACTTATTTTCTATCGGGTTAAGGTCAGGCAAATTGCTTGGCCAATCACTTATGAAGTCTACCTGCCAGTCAACAAGCCATTGTATTACAGATTTTGCTCTGTGATATGGCGTACCATCCTACATAAACACATCAGTGCTGCATTTTTCAAAAGACTCGGGCAAATAATCACAAAGCAGCTCCAAGTAGCTGAAAGTGAACTTGGGGTCAAGCGAATCACTCCCTGGCCGCCCTGTACCCATTAAAAGTACGACTTCCAGTAAGAAAAAACATTGCCGCGTCACTCACAGCACGTGCTGCCACTTGGTCGTATCCCACTGAGCATTAGCCTTGGCAAAAGAGACCCTACACTGCTTCTGGACAAGGGTGATTAGTGGCTTCTTGCGTGCGCGGTGGCTGCGAAATTGCAGGTTATTATGGATGCGGCGGTGATTGGTCCTTACAGAAACATCACCGAGAAGTACAGGTTTTTTTTCTTTCAATTCCTGTGCTGACAGATGTGGATCAGCATCAAGTTGCCTCTTAAGAACAGTTAACGTGCATTGGGAAGTTTTTCGAGCCTTCCCTGGCCGTCCGCTGTGCACTGGTATTGCCAACCCGCCGTCATCTCGAAATCGTTTAATCCAAATCTGAACTGATCGTTCACTCACACCAACAATTCTTGATACAGTAGGCTCTCATATTTGGACACCTATTTAGACTGTAAAAACCTCGCGAAATTCAAATCGTCCAAATTTAAATACAACTTCCTATGGAGAAAATTAATTTCGATGTTTGGCTAAGTTTTGCCTTATTTACCCTACTTTTTGGGCGAATTACTACCTGTAATAAAGCAACATCCTAATAAACCAACGAAAATAACATAGATAAAGTTAAATAAAATCTAAGAACAACACAGAAAAAGTTTTTATGTTCTACAGCTTCAGCTAGAGTTGAACCTGATGACTTGGCAACTTTGTCATCCGAGTAAAACACACACAACAACATTGGTAGAATTTTTGTTTTAAATTCAGAAACATTAATTAAAATATATATATGAACAGTAAATAAATGTTTGCTTTCATATTCTTATGTAGAGTAATGACGATATGTTTACACATGTGCTCACTTACATACGTGATCTCACTTTTTTCTTTACCATTAATGGTTAGCTACTTTTACTGTTTCATTTATTAACATCAAATAACATTACTTAAAATAACCATATTAATTTTTTTTACATTAATTTTACTACAGCTACAACCAGGGTCTTATTTTCTTCAGTTTTATATGTAAAACCAGTCAGTCACGGGTTTTGTAAACATTAACGAAAACAATGCCGTCTCGTCTCCTCGTGTGTTTTAATGTTCTACGTATTATTAATGAATTGTATTGTTCATTTTGTACACATAAACATTAATTCAATCAAAAAGACATTCAGTAATAAACAATAATGAATCTTTTATACATAAGAGAAATTAAAAAACGTAGAATTAAAAACTCGCGAAATTTGAGAACCTGCTGTACAGTATTTCCTTTCCAGGTTTTTTACCTTTATGCAGACTAATAATTAACCCTATCTGCTTCTTTGTTAAATCTTTCCTCTTGGTAAAAAAGGCAAAGAAACAACGGGCATTGTGTCAATAAATCGGGGCAATGTCGGGGGGGGGGGGACCCATAAATCTTTGTTCACAAAATTTATGCGGGCAACTGGTGAACATTTTGATTGGTGGCTGACTTGTCCTCGAGTCTCCCTTTGCTGCCAGATGTAAGATGCCTGCCTCAGCCCCAGCCGGCTGGTGTGGAAGATGTGAGACACTTCAGCAAAGATCACTTCCTGTCGGCCACCTCGCGCATGATGCAATGGCAAGGAGTGTAAGGTATATGAAAAAGAACAGGCTTATTTACCCCCAAAATCAGGAGTCGAATTATACATGACAAGTATGACACATTGAGTGCGACAAGTTATACATGAATGGTGGTGACAAGTATGACACATTGAGTGCGACAAGCTAAACATGAATGGTGGTGACAAGTATGACACATTGAGTGCGACAAGTTATACATGAATGGTGGTGACAAGTATGACACATTGACTGTGACAAGTTATAACTAAATGTTTATTAATAATTTTCTTTTTACTTGAATGTTAAAATGTTTGTCTCTATAATAGTGAACAACCAGAAATATGTTCAGCAACACTGTCTCATAGTCCTCGCTGTCTGCTGCAACTCCGTGGTCACCAGGGCCCTGTTACCTCACTGGACATATCACTCTCAGGTCTTATGCTTGCTACAGGTGAGTCAGATGGATAATACTCTACTCTGAATATTGAATTACTTGAAATATATTTGTATATACAAGGTGGTATAGGTACAGGCAACCTCCACGTTACAGAAATTTGACTTTTTTGGAATTTTGAAATTATTACCCAAAAATTCGGGATATGGACAAAACTCTCCCTTACGGAATATTGGTACTGTATGTTAAAAAAATTTCATATTTAAAAATCGAGATATATATGACAAAGAAATTCACCGGAATTATTAAATTTATTTTGCGTGGATTCTTGGTGGTAGTGACAAGACAGTTGGAGGGCTGCTCACCTCTCCAGTTGGCAGCAGCCACAACAACAATGGCACTGATCAGTTTGAATTCTTCCCCAGTTAGTGTTGAGGACTGTGTTACTGTGAACCCTTATTCAAGATGAGAGGAAAAAGACCATCAGCTTCAAGTGAAAGCTGTGGTGATAAGAGATTCCCTAAAGGAATTATGTTGGACAATAAACATGATGTTTTAAGGAGGTAACTTCCAGTAACTCTGATCACACCGCCTCAACCTACCACCTCCAGACATGATGTTTTAAGGAGGTAACTTCCAGTAACTCTGATCACACCGCCTCAACTTACCACCTCCAGACATGATGTTTTAAGGAGGTAACTTCCAGTAACTCTGATCACACTGCCTCAACTTACCACCTCCAGACATGATGTTTTAAGGAGGTAACTTCCAGTAACTCTGATCACACTGCCTCAACTTACCACCTCCAGACATGATGTTTTAAGGAGGTAACTCTGATCACTTCAACTTACCTCCAGACATGATGTTTTAAGGAGGTAACTTCCAGTAACTCTGATCACACCGCCTCAACTTACCACCTCCAGACATGATGTTTTAAGGAGGTAACTTCCAGTAACTCTGATCACACTGCCTCAACTTACCACCTCCAGACATGATGTTTTAAGGAGGTAACTTCCAGTAACTCTGATCACACCACCTCAACTTACCACCTCCAGACATGATGTTTTAAGGAGGTAACTTCCAGTAACTCTGATCACACTGCCTCAACTTACCACCTCCAGACATCAGTAACTCTGATCACACTGCCTCAACTTACCACCTCCAGACATGATGTTTTAAGGAGGTAACTTCCAGTAACTCTGATCACACCACCTCAACTTACTTCACACCGCCTCAACTTACCACCTCCAGACATGATGTTTTAAGGAGGTAACTTCCACTAACTCTGATCACACCGCCTCAACTTACCACCTCCAGACATGATGTTTTAAGGAGGTAACTTCCAGTAACTTTGATCACACCGCCTCAACTTACCACCTCCAGACATGATGTTTTATGGAGGTAACTTCCAGTAACTCTGATCACACCGCCTCAACTTACCACCTCCAGACATGATGTTTTATGGAGGTAACTTCCAGTAACTCTGATCACACCGCCTCAACTTACCACCTCCAGACATGATGTTTTAAGGAGGTAACTTCCAGTAACTCTGATCGCACCGCTTTATGCGGCACTCAACATTGTTTCTGTTGAGTTAAATTCAAGTGTTGTGTGCATATATGAATCATTGTATGTGTGTATTTTCTTTTATGTATGTGCTTGTGTTACATTTTTGGGCCCAAAAAATTTCCATAGGAATGCATCAACTTATATAATGGGTGTCTATGGGAAAAATGGTCCCATGTTACAGAATTTCACGTTATAAAAAGATTTTCAGGAGCGGAACCCTTCAGTAACCTGGGGGATGCCTGTATGAAAAAACCTGCAGTGTTCCCAGTGAATACGACCAGTTTGTTATTTTCATTTTTCAGGGTGTATGAAGAGCACCAATGGGCTGGTGAATGTTTGGTCTCTTCAGGATGGCTCACTGCTCCAAACATTAATAGGCTCAGGGGGGATATCTGGCCTAGCGTGGGCAGGCCAGGCAGGACTGGCTGTCAGTCTCACTCAGTCACAGGTCAGACTACTGTATTTGGTATACCTTCGGTAGTATTTACTGGACTGTTTAGTAAATTCTATACTTGCTTATATTATTATACTCAAATAGATTTTTCTTGTCATTGCAAGTTTATTTTCTGAACATCTTTATTTCAAGAACATTTTAAAATGTCAACAAACAGCTTTTAGTATTACTGTGTGTTTATTTGGACCAATTGGTTGTCTTCATACCTTTTACTTTTTGCTTTTATACAACTCCCTTTACGTCCAGACTTGGAGTACTGCTCTCATATCTGGGGTGGCTCTTCTTCTGTCCAACTATTAGATAGGGTGGAATCAAAGGCATTTTGTCTTATTAACTCTCCTCCTTTAGTCGACAATCTCTCTTCCCTTTCTTTTTGCAGCAATGTTGCTTCACTCTCTCTCTTTTACAGGTACTTTAACAGGCAATGTTCGGTGGATTTGGCATCCTGTGTACCTCCAGCAATGCTTGTAAATGTCTGTTTCACGAGAATAACCCGTTATAGTAAATCCTTCTTTCCTGACACAGCTAAACTGTGGAATGCTCTGCCTTCTTCTGTGTTTCCAAACTCATACAATGTGTCACAACTCAAGAAGCTGGTTTTCCGGCTTCTTCGTGGTGTTGATTAATATAGTCTTTTTCTCTTCTCATTTTTTTTTACTCTTATTTTTGCACCCCCAGGACCCATTGTGGGTCGACACCTTGTTGCCGGGGTGGCTATTCCCGGTAAAAAATATGAAAAAGTATCACACTGATCAGTGAAGGTGAGGTGGTGTAGGAACTGTAACAAGCAGGAAATAAGGAATAAAAAGTGATGGGTTAATAAAGATGTGGTACTTACAAGAATAAAGTGATCTTCTGTAGTCCCATAGAGGGTGAGGGAACCAAGGTTGATAACCAACATGAGGCACAGTTAAAAATGATAATAATAATACAGGTAATAGTACAGTACAGTAATAATAATAATAATGATAATTCATAATATTTCTAACAATAATTGATATACAGTACAGTCAACCCTCGCTTTACGCAGTCCCACTTTACGCGTTTCCACGTTTACGCGGTACCCTGCCGAACACGGAATGCTCACTTTCCGTGGTGCATGTACCCCTTTACATGGAGAGCGGCTGGCGGTCCTCTCGCGCCATGCCATTTTTGGATCCAAACCTCCTGCCATCTCTCCCGCCCTCTCCCGCCATATTGTGTAAGCGGCGCGAGCAGGTTGCGCAGTGTATGTCTTTGTTGCGTTATCGGTGACGTCATATGACGTAGAGGACTGTGATTGGGCAAAGCATCCTTACCTCCCTCCCTGCTAGCTGTGATTGGTTTAATGTAGTACTATGATGTGCCCCACCGCGGGAGCGTTCAAGCCCCTTGACCTACCGCGTCAGTTACACCCCTCCCGGCTACACCGTGTATATCGGTATCTATTGTTCCATAAGAATGGCTTCCACCGGACCACCACCACCACCACAAAGAAACCTTACATTACCTGGACCCAGCCGCCCTAAGCCAAAGAAGACACGACGTTCCTTAAGCTACGAAATAAAATGTAAGATCACACAAGAGTTGGAGAAAGGAACAAGACAGGTTGATCTCGCGCGCCAGCATGGTGTTAACGAATCAACTATCAGGACAATTAAGAAGGATTCAGCCAAGATAAAGGAGCACATGAACATCACAAAATCTACAGGTGCTTCTATGATCAAGTATTTCCACAACCAGGTGCTTCTCAAGACGGAAAAATTACTTGTGAGCTACTTGGTGCGTCAGGCACGACGGAACATGGCGGTGGACACGCGCTCAGTTAAGGAGTACGCACATGAACTGTATGCTGCAGTGTCACGAAAGATGGGAATTACAGAGCCCAAACCCTTTAATGCTTCCTCTGGGTGGTTACAGAGGTTTAAGAAGAGGAACAAGATCACCAATATCAACATTGGTGGTGAAGAAGCTAGTGCTGACCGTGTTGCGGCTAGGGAATTTCCTCCGTTTTTACATGAGATTATGGAGGAAGGACAGTACACCGACGACCAGGTGTTTAACATGGACGAATCTGGTCTTTTTTGGAAAAAGCTACCTTCCAAGACCTTCGTTGTGAAGAATGCCAGCAAGTGTCGGGGCCGGAAGTTGCAGAAGGAGCGCATCACCGTCCTGTTTACCACCAATGCCTCCGGTACCTGTAAGCTCAAGTTATCGGTGATCCACACAGCACGCAAGCCGCACGCCTACAAGAGCATGGACATGACCAAGCTAAATGTCCACTGGCTGACCGCACGTAAGGCGTGGATGTTCTCTACACTGTCCCTCTCCTGGTTTGATGACTGTTTCGTTCCCGATGTGAAGAAATTCTGTGAGCAACAGAATGTGCCATTCAAGATTTTGTTGCTGCTTGACAACGCACCAGGACACTCGCCCCTACTGTTAGATCGTCACCCCAACATAAAAGTGGTCTTCCTTCCTCCCAACACTACGTCTATAATACAGCCCATGGACCAAGAATTGATCTGTAATGTAAAAGCTGCATTCTCTGCTAAAAAATTCAACCTCCTGAACGACTACACCAACACCAAGGAAGAGTTGCGTAACCTGAGTGACACCAACACCGATAGCAAGAGCGAAGACGACGAGGATCAACAGTTGGCAGAGCAAGAAGTACTTTTAAAACAATTCTGGAGAACATTCAACATCAAGAAAGCTGTGGACTTCTTGGTGGAGGCATGGGATCAGCTGTCTGTAGCAACTGTTCGTCACGCATGGAGACATGTGTTGCAAGGCATTCCGGCCGTTAGGCAGAGTCAATCTGTGACTGGTGAGGTTCAGACTGTTGCAGTAGCAGTGGACCTTGCCAGAGAAGCTGCGCAGAGTGTTACAGCTGCAGGCTTCTCCGAGACCACCAACGACGACATCCTGGAGGTGATAAGGGATCCTGATGTGACTACCGACGAGATGGTAGATGATGATGACGTCAGTGAAGAGGCAGGTGGTGCGTCATCCCAAGAAGAACGCCGCTTATCCCATAGTAATGTTAGGGGTGCCATCGAGTGTATTGAGAAAGTCAAGCTCCTCCTTTCCGACGACCCTGACGCAAACAGGTATGAAATCTTCACTACCCAGCTGTTGCAGACTATGGAGCCCTACATCAAGGTTTATCACGACAACATAAACACCAGCCGTCAGCAAAGCATAACAGAGTTCTTCGCCCGCAACCCACCACAGCCAGCCCAAGCCAGTGATAGTGACAGAGGCTGAGACAGTGATGATGACTTTGAGGGATTTGTCAGGGAGGCACTAGTAAGTGTGGATGACACCGATGAAGACTCACCTGAGGGCCAGTAGCCTGCCCTCTGCCTCGGAACCAGCCTCCATTCCCCTACACCGACCCATCTCTTCTACTAACGTAAGTGTTAACCCCAACCTTGTTTTTTTCTAACCTAACCTTCAGTTTATTATTCTCTTATTGACTGTTCCCTTCTGTATTATGTGTGGGTGAATACCATCATAAAGTTAACATGTTATTTTTAGTGAAACGTATATATTGTGTCGGGAAAAAGTGGAGTTTGGGGGTCGGCCCGGTCTCTATTTCAATTAATCCCATATGTTATGTTGTTCACTTTACGCGTTTCTCACTTTACGCGGGCCGCCGTGGGTTCAATTAACCATGTAAAGTGAGGGTTCACTGTATATTCAATATGACCCAAGTTAGTCGACAAAGCCATGAGTGGCTTATTTCCAGCAGGGTCCTTGTGCCAGCAGCATCTAGTGCTCCCAGGTGTCACCCATCAAAGAACTAACAGAGCCAGTGTTGCTTAACTTGGCTGATTGGATAAGAAGCTGTGTTTCCAACTTGGTATAACCATGTTACTTCACAAGATGGTGCCTTTAAAATCATCATACATGTTTGACAGTACAGAGGTGGAATTCTGGGTCAACCATAGTGACACAGGATGAATGAAATAAGTTTAGAAATAACTGTACAGTACAGTATATGATGTTAGGTTAAGACCAGGCTGAGAGAGAACATTTGAGAATCCCATCCCTACTCTGAACCTCCCAGTGATTGGCACTAGAAGTAAACCCACAGCTTCATCACTTGTTCTATTCCCTAAATGGAGACTGAAGGGGAGGCAGGAAAATTTAAGTTCCCCCTTCACCCCCTCACAGCTATAACATGGGCCATCACAAGCTCAGGTCATTCCTTAATGTAATTTTATATAATATGATGTGAGACTGATGACAGCAGCATGGATGATATGGAATTCTTTATCACAGGTCTTTCTTTATTCACTACCTAAAGATACAAATGAAGAACTTCTTATATAATTAGATTATTATATAAATCCATCATCACTCTTCCTCTTGATATCATAAACCTTCCTATTTTAAGAAACGTATGTGAATGTTAGGGAAGAAATCAGCTTCATGACCATGTGAGTTAGGGCGCTGGAATTTAGTTAATGAATAAATTCTTAGTCTGGAATTATGTCTCTCAAAGTTAACTACATATGTGGACTAGACACAGAACTTTGTCTTGTGTTAGAACTTTGTCTTGTGTTAGAACTTTGTCTTGTGTTAGAACTTTGTCTTGTGTTAGAACTTTGTCTTGTGTTAGAACTTTGTCTTGTGTTAGAACTTTGTCTTGTGTTATTAGTGACCTTTGTTGGGACCATCATCAGGGTAGACAGAGCATTTTATACTCATGTGTGGGTCAGCCTCTGGTCTCATCCATGTGTGGGTCAGCCTCTGGTCTCATCCATGTGTGGGTCAGCCTCTGGTCTCATCCATGTGTGGGTCAGCCTCTGGTCTCATCCATGTGTGGGTCAGCCTCTGTTCTCATCCATGTGTGGGTCAGCCTCTGGTCTCATCCATGTGTGGGTCAGCCTCTGGTCTCATCACCCATGTGTGGGTCAGCCTCTGGTCTCATCCATGTGTGGGTCAGCTCATCTGTGTCAGCCTCATCCATGTGTGGGTCAGCCTCTGGTCTCATCCATGTGTGG